GTATCTAGATTGATCTAGTAAAAGTATTTAGACTATATTTATAGCTAATATTCTATAACATAATCTTTTTGGTCCTTGAACTTCCAACTATGTATTGGCAACTAGAATTCTCTGTGCCAGAAGGTGGATGTCATTTGAAGTAGTGATGCCATTATATAAGGGCAAAAGGAAATCAACCCATATGATAGGGGGAAAAGGAGGATAAGAAAAGAAATGAAAGGAAAAGAGTCGAACACTTGTTAGATTTGCATCTTGTCCCTTACTTGACCTGTCTTAGCTGAGAGAACTAGAAAGAGAACATAGAATTCTTTTTACCTTGATAAAGGTGGGGTGTGGTCCAACTTATGCACACCATCTACCAGGTACTCACTATCTCCAACCACCACAAGTATCGGTAACTCTGTTCACAAAGACTTAATAGATGGAGAGAATAGCATTTTTGCCTCTGCTAGGTTTTGTACAGTTAAATATGGCAACAATAAATACTATGTAAATATAGAAGGATACCCAAATCCTGTAATTAGGTATTTAGGAGATTTTGTAGGCTTGTAATTATAGCTTCCTTATTTGTATTTCTTGCGAAGGTTATTTAAACCCAACAGCTTGAGCTGTTAGGGAATAATCGAGCAATCTATTCTACGAAATCTTTCTTCTCTTCTTGTCTTGACATGGTATTGAGTCAGGCTCTTCGCCAATTTATTGTTTCCTCGATGTTGGATCCCCATCTTATATTGTCAACACTCTCTAGATGTCCAGTCCCGGGCATGTTGGTGGTGACAGTGTTGAGTCCCACATTGGTTGTGGAAAGCGAAACTAGACTCCTTATATGATCTTGGCAATTCCTACCTCATGAGCTAGCTTTTGGGTTGAGTTAGGCCGAAGGTCTGTTTCTTTATCAATAATATGTGAAAAAGTTGTGATCAAAGGAAAAGCTATTTCACTTCCAAAATAGTAATATTATCATTTAAAATGGAACAAATGGAATATTCTATATTTTTTGTTGTTGTACACAAATGAAGTACTATATTACGATAAGAAATAATACAGTATACTATTATCATTTAGATTCTTACATGTTCTTACTAAAACAATAGTATCAAAAATTAACATAACAAAACAACACTGAAGAAAAATTGAGACAAATGGAATTATTGGAGGAAGTCTAATATTGGCTATATGCAATAAACTAATTGAAAAATTGGTATGGACTTTAAATTATTAACGAATACGAAACCATTAGCACCCAAAGGAGAAGCTCTAATCGGGAATCGAAATGAGTTGTGTAGGCTAGAGAATAGGAAGGAGGTTAGGAAAAGGATAAATGGAGGGGGGGGAAAAGAACAGAAAAGAGAGAAGTGATTATTAATGATGTTAGTTGTTGTCTTGTTTTTGGTTCTAGCTTTGCCTTTAAAAAAGGTCCTGTTATGCAAGCACGTCACATTGCAGCTCCAAAAGGGACCAGCATGGCCGTGAGCAAATGCAAATCAAATTTTAAGGACCAAAGACGCAAAATCTGACTTAGAGGACAGAAGAGTTTTGGGGCTTCTGTGGTTAGCCATTCAATTTCTGTTACAGCTCAAGTCTATGGTACGTACTGTTTCCTTTGGCCCAACTGACCTCATGGATTTGCCTCTTTGGTTACATCACATTGAGCTAACAAGCAGGCGTACCATGTGTTTGTGTTCTGTCTTATATAGCACATCACTTTTGTCTCCCTTTCCGGTGCAGGATAGGTGTCATGCATTCCATCTTTATTAGTCTGTTAGCCTACAGTCTGTTGGTCCTTCTCCTTAACACGTCCTTATCACCCTGCTCCTTCATGGGCATCACATGCACCCATCTGAAGAACTCAGCGTCCTTGTAGAGGTTTCTCCCATTATCGTACCCATAGTACATATTGTTCGCATTAACCTAAAAGATGTCACAAATTTGTCTCAAGTTACTCCATATCGAGCCGAAATGCCTGGGTACCATGTGCACTTTTATTTAGTTCAGAAATCTCCGAGGACCAGAGGTGGATGATTGGAAACTCGATGGATAATGGGTCCGCCCCTCTATCCTTCTCCACTTAAATACCTAACTTTTGTTTGCGGCAGATGTGCGCCTAATTCACACATTGGCGTACCACGAACTTGTGCTTTGTCTATTATAGCACATCACTTTTCTCTCTTTCTAATATCTGATTTGTCTAAGATGTTATTAGTTTACAGATATGTATAGTGTAGTCTTGTCCCACATTGGAAGAGGAGTAATATCTCCTTGTAGTGTATAGCTATAAATAGGGACCTCTTGTATAGTATTTATCATCCAATATCAATAACATATTTTATCCCGTGCCTTCTCACATGGTATCAGAGCATTAGTGAGAAAAGATCGATGTGCGTCATTCCAGGGTTAACCGGGAAGAAAGAACTTAGTCATCGTGCAATTTTTCCGATGACCTAAGGCTTGTCTAAGTGAAAATCACTTTCTGTCGGTGTTGTGCTAAAACCAACACCACCACGAGGTAGATCACCCTCCGACGACCAACCCCTGAAATTTTATCCGGCAGAAAAGTCGCCACGCTCCTCCACCCGCCGGCAACAACAACTTTTCCGGTGAGGGTTCCGGCCACTTTTCGACCATTTTTTCGCGAACTTCTTCAGGACAGTGAGCTCTCCTCAAAATTTCGAGCCTACCCATCTAATTCAAATCAAATTCCGACCACTTTTATATTTTTTCGGCGTGAACAGTGACCTTCCCGGCCATTTTTTGAAAACATTTCTTCAGGACAGCTTGCTCGCAAAGGAATTCCGAGTCTATCCATCCTGGTTACGACAAATTCCGACAACTTTGGAATTTTCAGGCGAGCTACGGTGTTTCCGGCATGAACAGTGTTTCCGGCACAGAACAGTGTTCTGTTTTCCTGATGTAAACAGTGTTTTTCAAGCTATTTCTTCAGTTTTCTCACAGGAGTTACTTATTTCCACTATTTCAAGTTAACCTTACTACTACAAATTGTAGCGACATGGGAACCGATTCTTTGAATAGTCGGATGGTTTCTTTAGCAGAGTATATTGAGTTCCTTCAGTATAAAGCATGTAAGCAGACATCTTCTGAGATAGCTTCTGTTGTTCAAACAGGTAATAGCGTGACTTGTTTCTCCCAATCTTCATCCTCTGAGT